AGGGGATTTTTTAAGGTACTTAATGAAATGTTGCTATATGGCAACAACGTCCAATATTCAAATTCCTCATAATTAATAATTGTGTTGTTTGTTTTAATTTAATTGGTCTTGCAATATTACAGCTTTAACACAAAAATGAAAAATGACACCATATGCATACCTTCCAAGAACTGATATTGCAACAGCTGTCATTAATTCCATTCATTTTTGCTGAACATTATTGAAAACAAACTTTATATTGTATTTTCAGACCCCCTAGTCTTTCGCAATTCCGCGATCGCTGAATCCAATGCAAAATCAACAAAAAGTCTGCAAAATTCTTAATTAAATGCAAAATAATCACAAAAAATATAAATAATCTCGTAAAAAAATCAAATTCTAAACCATATCATCAATTTATATTTATTTCAGTTTGCACTTAATTGCTTAACAGGACTTACAGACTTTGCATACGCAGCGCACTAGATGTATTTGAGCGTCTCTCGAAAAATGACATCTTACCTGCGCCCTCACTATCATTACATTACATGGAGGTAAGCAGACGAAGCGCGAGTGATTTACATGTGAAGTCAATGCAAGGATGAGATATAGACGTCTTGTGGCACGAACTGGGCATTCTGTGCGTTTGACAAGCGTCAGACTGCAAAAGAAAGTTGGAGCAAACTGAGCAATGGAACAAACAGATGGAGCTGAGATTGGTTCAAGGATGACGGCAGCTGAAAGTAACCCAATTGAAGGACATTATTGCTTTACATGTATGGCTGGTATTATGATGAGCGTTAAATCGATAAATGTCTTTAACCCTTTCCATGCCCTTAACAAGAGAAAAAGCTTCCCTGCCTTTGAAGAGTTTTACGGCAATCCGTGTTTTATGTGTATTAAGGTAGGGGAAGCCCTAATGCATGTCCTATGTGTGACATGATGTCAGATGCTTCGGGGGATTGAAATCTGAGAAAAAGTAAGATTGTGGATCAAAATAAGAGTTATCCAACCTTCCTTTGCCTTAATCCCTACTGTTTCAAATCTTGTCTTGAGAGACTAAAATAAAGAAGTGTTTTTTTATGATTTGTGTCATTGTCATTGTGTCAGATTGTACACCCAGCATAGTAGGCTACCTTATATGGTAAATACATATAATGTTTTACGTTTATATATTTAACGTTTTGACAATTTTTAATAACTAGTAAAACAAGGTCAATTAAAAATGTAAGAATGCATGGACAAATTTTTCACCACACACTCTATGTGCTTTAGCATTGACAAAAGAAGGGAGAGTAAAACAGATTTCTATTTTGAGCTGACTGATAAAAAAATTCAACTCTTGTATATGATTGATGAAAGAAACTGCTTGTTTCATGTATGTTTGCTGTATGTGACCACGTGAAGGTGAGTAAATAATTCGCATAAGTTGGGTAATGATTCTCTATTGTTTAAGGTGAACTTTTTGAGGTTAAAAATGAACATGAGTAAATGAGTACGCTAGGGTGTGTGTTTGTGTTTGTGTGTGTGTTTGTGTGCTCAAAGGCAAAGACACAGTGAAGGACACAGTAGATTAGGAGAAAGACAAACAGAACACAAGATTTACAAGAAAGTCGGACAACAAGAGACAATGGGAGCATTAAATAGACAGGCAGTTAGATTTCAAGGGAAAGGGTTACATGCGTCCCTGGAGAACAAAAAAGACTTCTCAGAGTGGTTTAGATTGGAGAAAAACTCTGTGACTAATTAGTTTATCAACAGTGTTAGAATACATACAAAAATAAATGCCTGCGGTGACAAATTAAATACTGCTTCAGTACATTTTTGTGGCAGTTTCAAATTTAGATGTTTAGTGAGAGGCACTATAATGTGTTTTAATTTTTTCTGTGACATTCCAAATTCAAATGGAGATTTAGTAATGTTTAACTGAAAAAAAAAACATACTATCTACACCAGTGGTTCCTTAAGTGGGGTCGAGACACCGATTGGAGTTTACCCGTGCTAAATTCAGTTGATTGGACATGATTCGAAAAGGCATACACCTGTCTATATAAGATCCCAGGGTTTACAGTGCATATCAAAGCACAAACCAAACATGAAGACAAAGGAATTGCCTGTAGACCTCTACGACAGGACTTTCTCAAGGCACAAGGCTGGGGAAGGTTACAGAAACATTTCTGCTGCTCTGAAAGTTCTAATGAGCACAGTTGCCTCCATCATCCTTAAGTGGAAGATGTTTAGAACCACAAGGACTCTTCATAAAGCTGGCCAGCCATCTAAGCTGAGTGATTAGGGAGAAGGGCCTTAGTCAGGGAGGTGATCAATTACCCGATGATGACAATATCTGAGCTCCAGTATTTTTCTGTGGAGAGAGGAGAACCTTGCAGAAGGACAACCATCTGTACAGCAATCCACTAATCAGGCCTTTATGATAGAGTGGCCAGACAAAAGCCATTGCCCACCTGGAATTTACCAAAAGGCATCTGAAGGACTCTCAAACCATAAGAAACAAGAAACTAAAATTGACTCTTTACATTATATTTAAGATGCAGCAATAGTGTCAGATGCAGCAGATTGATGTTATGGCACCAGGTTAAACTTTCTGGCACATTTACAGCACTGGCATACATTAAAAAAATAAAATAAAATAAACAAACAATAGACTTGGGCCTATTGGTGTGCCCCATTGTATGCAAGGTTTCTGCATTTATAACCACCTCAGATGATATTGGGGGTTGCGAGCAACTGGCATTGCTATTTTGGGGATTGTGGGCTGAAAAGTTTGGGAAACCCTGATCTACACTACACACACACAAAAAATGTGTGGTAAACATGCATTTTAAAGGTGGTGTGCAATAAAACTGATATAAACATGTCAAATCTTGATCAATCAAAATGCTCTAAAGCAGAGGTGCCCAAACATTTTCTTATGAAGGGCCAAAAACCAAACTAGATTGAGGCTAGTGGGCGAAAGGTAAATATAACTGCCAATGGTACTTCCAAATTTCATTCATTCATTTTCTTTTCGGCTTAGTCCCTTTATTAACCTGGGGTCGCCACAGAGGAATAAACCGCCAACTTGCATATGTTTTAAACAGCTGATTCCCTTCCAGCTACAACCCATATCTGGGAAACATCCATACACACTCATTCACACATACACACACTCATACACTACGGTCAAATTTAGCATACCCAATTCACCTATAGCGCATGTCTTTGGACTTGTGGAGAAAACTGGAGCACCAGAGGGGAAAATCCCGCCTACACGGGGAGAAAATGCAAACTTCACACAGAAATGCCAACTGACCGAGCCGAGGCTCGAACAAGTGACCTTCTTGCTTTGAGGCGAACGTGCTACCCACTGTGCCACCGTGTCGCCCACTTTCTAATTTTTTTAATAATATTTAAAAATAACTAAGAAACATTGCTTTGTATGAACTAATGCAGTAGACATTTTTTACGTTTATATAATGAACTTCTTACAGTAAAAACTCATATCTCATTTATAACAGAATGGAGTTACGCTAGTCAAGCTGCATCTGATTTTGTCTTGATTTTCTTGCAGATGTCTTCTGAATTGTCCACTATCTGTTGAGTGACAGTATTTACATTTTTGCAAATTATATATTTACGTATTTACAATTAACATTTAAATGAAATATTTACTTTTAGTTGGCTTTTTTGTAGCTCAAAAATAAAACGGACAAAAAAAAAAAAATTATTTTAAAAAAGAAATGACAATCTCTGTTAAAATCATTCACCCCAACCCTGCCCATCATTCATACTCCTATCTCAGATGGGATGGTGGGCCAAATCAAAGGTTACAAAAGGCCAACTTTGGCCCGTGGCCCATAGTTTGGGCATCTCTGCTCTAAAGTATCTGATATGCCCTGCCCCATTCAAAATGCTGTTTATTTGATCCGCTTGAGCTCAGCCTCACTCTGGCAGAGCAGTGATGAAAACAAAACACTATTGGCAGTTTTTTTTTTTTTTTTTTTCAAGGGGAGGGGTTACAATATGTCCCACCAAATAAACATTGAATAAAAATGCACATTTCAAAGGAATTCATGGGACTCTTAAGAAAATAAGTGTTATTTATCTGTTTTTTTGTTGTTGTTTTTTTTTTTATCTTGAGCTACACATCACAAATGCAATGCTATACTCAGAGTGAGCTACCAAGCAAGTTTACCATTGTGTAAAATGTCCAAAATGACATACAAATGTGACAAAGGGACAAGGCTTTATAAAAAGTGATGCAAATACTATATATTTCCCGAATGATGTTTAACAGAGCAAGGAAAGTTTCACAGTGTGTCTAATAATATTTTTCTTCTATTTGTTTTATGTGGGCTAGAATAAAAACAGGTCAAAATTGTTAGCCTCTTTAAATAAAGATTTTTTTTTTTCGATAGTCTACAGAACAAACCATCATTATACAATAACTTGCCTAATTACCCTAACCTGCCTAGTTAAGCTAATTAACCTAATTAAGCATTTAAATGTCACTTAAAGCTGTATAGAAGTGTCTTGAAAAATATGTAGTCAAATATTACTTACTTTCATCATGGCAAAAATAAAATAAATCAGTTATTAGAGATGAGTTATTAAAACTATTATGTTTAGAAATGTGCTAAAATAATCTTCTCTCCGTTAAACAGAAATTGTGGGAAAAAAATAAAATAAACAGGGCGGCTAATAATTCTGACTTCAACTGTAGGTTTAGCGTAGTGCGTCCTCAGAAGTTAAAGAGAACAAATGGCTGACAATTTGTGTATTAATCAATTTTTAGTTTGATCAAACAGCAAGACAGCCTACATCCTTCATTGATAGACACTTCTGTGATTTACTGTAGGTTAAAAAGCTTAAATGCTGAATACATATCAAATGATCTTTAATAACAAAAAATGCAGCTGAACACATGATAAAAAAATACTCATGAAATAATACTACCAGATCAAATACAGTCAACAGATCATCATCTTTTTGTTAGGTGAAAGAAACTCAAGAAAGAGACTAACCAATGCCAATGAAGACCACTTGATAGCCCTCCTCCTTCAGCGAGGTCAGAGTCAAGCCATTCTGCCCCAGTCCCTTCTCAAGAACAACCTGTCAGAAATAAATAAAAAAGAAACCACATCACCATACCGCATCTGTCTCAGCTGCCTCCATCTGTCTGTATTATTCACATAAAGAGGATGTTAGCGTCAATTATTCTACGCTGCTGTGAATTCCAGGACATAATTACATCAATCATCCTGCAACCTTTGTGATGGCAGTATACAGACGAGTATAGTTATGATACATTAGTACAAACAGAGTCATTCTGTGGTCACATGGGCCGCTATGTGTTGAGCTACAAATGACAAAATACAAATGTGGTTCATAAGAGGTGGGTCGCAGGTCTATTCTTACAGGGTCACGGACTGCAGAGGAAAATGAGGATACGTTAAAATGATGAAACGCAGCTAACAATTTAATTATCTATAGTTAGGTAAGCAAAATATACAGGTTTATCAAAACGCCTCCCATATATTATGTTGTTGACGTCAAAAGGCTGTGCATCCAATGTAATTATATGCTATTTTGCAGCAAATATTTCAGCCGGTTGGTTGAAGCTGGTTAAATTAGACGGATGCCAACATGGACAGAATTACACAACATTAATCAAAAAGCATAAACAAAAATCACAGCAAAAAAAAAAGATTACATACCAATATTTTGGCTGACAGTAATAGCTTTATAATTTAATGTGTCAATATAAAAATAAAGCAATGAGATTTCCTATGAATTACACATGGAGAACAACTACTAATTTGAAGACAGAAGAAATGAGGCCCAATTAGATATTGACCGATACACCTACAACTGTTTTACAAAATAATATTTGTATTTTACAGGTGCCATAAAGTAGCTAAGACAAGTTGAAAAATAACCACATTAATTAGCCCTCGAATCAAAAAGCTCAGTGTTGATCATTTTTGGGATGCTCATGAATATTAATGAGCTCTGCTCTGATGCTCCACAGCAGTCAGTGCCTCACACACACATGAACACAGCGTAATGTGCTCTGTAATGAATATGTACCATCATATCCTTGCTGTAATAATTGCTGTAATCTCACTAGCAAACTTTATAGAAAGCAAATGCAGCATATTAATGACACTGTGTGCTTAACCACAGCAAGTGGCTATGCTTCCGTCCAACAATCTGAATTAAATTTATGCACAAACTGGAATATCACATACAAGACGTGAGAATAAAACAAAGTTTCTATCCAATGAGTTAAATGTGCAGTAGGTGATCTTCCATAATGTTAACAGCTTAGTATAAATCTCTGAATCACAGTACCTCCCCTGCCGTCCAGAGTCACGCCTCCTAAAACACGAGCAGATGACAGCAGAAGCCTCACTCATGTATTAAAAGCGACTAGTGCTTGTCCAGCAGCATGCAGGAATTGCACTTATTACTAAGCCAAACTGACATGCTATTTTAGAGTGAGTATTCAGACTAGCATGGTAAACAATATAAGGAGAGCATCACAGGTCATCATTGATTAAAAATGAACCAATGTGATGTGAAAATAAAACCATTTTTACCTCAGTAAAGCAGGTTGGACGGAATAGCGGTATTTACTTGTGTTTTGTTATTAAACTAAATAGAATTAACATTATCGATGCTGTAAAAGGACCTTATGAAACTGAAAATAGTAACATCAATCATTTATCGGAAGACTTTAGTGGCTGAAAAAGCTAAAACTGAAGAAAGAAATCCTTCAGCTATAGTGTCATCCTTTCACCAGCGTGCAAAGGTAACTCCAATATTGTTTCAAGTTTTTAAAAAGTTATGATTCAGCATGTTTTTACCGATCGCGTGCATGCTCTCTCTCGCTTTCTCGATCCCTTTCATAAACGCGCAATGCACAAACAACGGAGCTCCATATAAACGGCTGGCGCAGTTGTTCAAATCTGCATTTGCTGACAGACTGTTTGGGCTACTTATGGGGATTATGAGAGATGTCGGCCTGACTATTTATTTAGATGAACATTTTTTAATTTTATGCCTTAGCCAGAAGATAAAAATACATAAAAATATGTTTAGATCATTTACTTTAATCAATATTATTGGAATGTGAATAAACTTTCAACCAGCACAACAAAAAATATGTTTCTAAAGACCTACTGTACCTTCAAAGAGAACAAAATTTTCACTTTCTAATTAACTGGCAGAATTTGCTGCGATAGGAAAAGCTGCGTGAATCTTTTCTTCATTTAATAAATGACCTGTGCCTCAGAAGACAGTATGCCGATGCGCAATGAATGCGAGGTGGCATTTGAAGACGTGAGAAGTGGAGAACAGACGCTTTTGACAGTTCTAGAGGTAATTAATAATAAGATAACAATAATACTGAAGGAACAAAACAACATTTCAGATGTTTTACAACACAGGCAGCCTGCTGGTTTATCCAGTAAAGGTAATGTTTAGGAAAAAGCATTATATTGTATATATATTATGTTATATTGTATATATTTATATGCTGTCAACCAGCGTAAAAAAGGAAGAAGAAGAAATCGTCGTTCTCGCCATCATATGGATTTACTTTCATTGGCTAGACACCGGCCTCACAGTTCTGTGAATGTCAGTGCCGTCACTTATTGATCCGCGATTGGTAAATGTGGCTTGTGTGGACGCTACTATGCTACTTGACTAAAAAAAAATAAATAAAAAAATTCACTAATGAAAAGATATGTGATTTAAAAAGTAGCGACTCTACCACCACACTACTGAGAAATATAGTTAAACTAGTAGCGTTACTGCTTGTAGCGACGCTACTGAACAACACTGAAAATAAGTAAACGAGACAGCAGCAAGAACATCGAGTTCAGCTCCAACCCTGGTCAAACACACCTGAACCAATTAATAAGGACCTGAACAGCGCTTGATAATTACAGGCAGGTGTGTTATATATTGGTTGCAACTGAAATCTGCAGGAAGGTAGCTCTCCAGGAACAAGGTTGGTCACCCATGATTTACAATATCTTCATATTTGTTTATGCAATTTCTGTAAATTTACAAAATCACACTGTTTTATTTGTATTGTAAGAATAATTAAATAAAAGTAAACACCTTATTTGAGTTTCGAAGGAGTTTTTTTTTCTTATTTCTACAACTAAAATGCATTCTAAGCTGTTCATCCCAGTAAAATGTGATTGATCCAGTCTCCTGCATGCGCACAAAACATATTTCATAAGAAACACACACACACAAATAAAACATGCATTTAGTAAAATAAGTGAATGCATTCATGATCAGTTAACTATGTTTATGTACCGCTGACTCTTTAAACAATTCATTAACTTTTCTAATTTTGACTGTAATATAATGTTGTGCACCTTTTGTGAAGCTGCTTTGGAATGGTAATCATTGTAAAAAGTGCTATATAATTACACTTGAATTAAATTGAATAATTGTATAGTAGCAGAATTGATCTATGCAAATGTAAAAATAGCTTGGAAAAAATAAACTTTTTTTAATAACTCAAATTTACTGCCCGTTTGTTATGTTAGGGATGAAAACATCCACTGCATTAAGCTGCTGTAAAAATGCATCAGATAAATATTTTTTTGCATTGTTAATCAACCCCAGTCCTGATTAAAACTACTAAATTGTTTAGAAAATTACAAAATTTTAATTCTTTAGTTGCCATATTCACAAATTATGTTACTGATTTGGTAAAAAAAAAATAAATAAATAAATAAAATAAAAATCACACAAAATGACGCATTTTCAATATAAAAAGTACTTTTTTTTAACCTTTTATCACAGTCTTGAACATGTGAATGATTCTTTCAGGAAATCGCTTTCAGGACTTAACTTGTGCCGGAACACGCCGGATACGGAACTTCTGAAATCTGATCCGGCACCTCATTTTTCCTATCACCCTACTCACCTGTCCTTTTCCCTCGCCCGCTGTGCATTTTTACTTTGTTCCACGACTCCCCAACCCTCTTCACGTTCGTCCGTGACAACCAACCCCTGCCCCGGTTCTTAACTTATGTCCGCGACACCTCTCCGCTATCCAACAGCGCTAAACCTCTACGGGTAGTATGTCGGATCCGTAACCCCGCTCTGTTACGGGACTTTACCATTCACAAATTGAGCACTGGTAACAACCTTGATTTTGATGCACTATTAGATAAATAATTTTTCTCCCTAATTTACTGTAGGTGGCTGTTTTTGCCCTATTGACTTCCATTATTACCACATTTGTTGGTGTATGAACACACAGTCTTTGTTATTATTTACTCCATGTAGTTCTGAGCGCTGAGATGCATTTTTTGATTTTCTCAGATACATCATGTGCGTAAAGGTCATTCTCACACACCCTTTAATTTACAGTTGTACACCATATAAAATCCAGAAACTAAGCTTTTTATTTATTTCTTTGTTTTATTTCATCTAAAGGGTTAATGGTGCCAACTGATGGTCAACAGTAACAATTACAAATTTTACCTCTTTCCAACAGGAAAAATGCTTGATTATATGGTGCCACAGTTTTGTACACAAAAAACAAGGTTATAATGGAGGTCAATGGGGCAAAAACAGTCACCAACAGTAAATTGGGAGAGAAAAAAAAAAAAAAAACATTTAATCAAACACAATGTATCACAGGCAATGTTGTTTGACATGTCTAAGACTTTGATAAAAAGTAAAAAAAATCCAGTCCACAATTACTTTTTATATGGAAAATACGTCATTTTTGTGTGTTTTTTAACCAAATTAGTGACATCATTTTTAAATGTGGCAATTAAAGAGTTCAAATCCTGTAATTTTCTAAGGAATTTAGTAGTTTTGATCATGACTGAGGTTGATTAACGCATAACATTTTAAAAAATATATTAATCTGCTGCATTTTTACATCAATTTAATTTAGTAGATGTTTGCATCCCTATCATCACATAAGGGTAGTAAATTTGTTTTAAATTTCAAAGCATTTTCTAAAAATATGTGTCGAAATAAGATTTGTCACCAAAACTTATTTTGCTCACTGAAACACAGAAAAGGTTATGGCCAAATTTAGAATTAAAATCACCCCAGGGTGGATGAAAACATCCCCAACAGTACATAAGGGTTAAATAACTTTTTATTCAACTATTTGACAATTGACACCCCACAGTGTGACATAGCTTATAACTGGCATCATGTTCATACAGTGTGACAAACAACAACCTTAAAAGACTTGCTATAAGCAAGAAGACGTGTTGTTCTTATCCGCAACATCAGCACTGTGCTAATTCTCTATTAAAATAACTGAGCCAATTGAATCAGAATTTTTTCAGTGTCCCCTTTTCCTAACCTTAACCAACCCCCCATCAAGTCTGAGAAACCTTTCCTCTTTCTCTCCAGCTCTCTCAAGACTAAAATCAAATTAATCATGGTCAGGTGATCTAGATGAGGACTATCGATTGCCATTTCTCACCATCACAGCTCTCAGGCAATGGACAGATGGATGTCTTTGCCACTTGCCTCACTAATGTGGCTTTTAATTGTGTTTTGTTAGCTTGTTTTTTTTCCCTTCCCCCTTGCATGGTTATTAATGTCAGTGACATTTGGGTGTTGCTGGGTTGGAAAGATATGACATCCCCCGTCTCTCGTACCTTTACGCCAAGATCCTTCATCAGATCAATCTCAAACTGCACCACCTCGTAGGGCAACCGGAACTGAGGGATTTCTGAAGTGCTGAAAACAGAGACGAGAAGGCCAAAAAACAATGTTTAATATGTACTGCTGCGTCTGTGTGGAATTAAATTGATTAGTCAGTGAGGATGCTCTGAAGGATCAGTCTGTTGAGCTCTGTACAACTTTGTCGCAGTCTTTCTCGCTTATTGAAAATGAATAATGTCTCGTTGCTTTGACGCTGTGCGAATCGATGGAGCATGTGAAAGGTATGGAGGATATGACAAGCTCGGCAGAGTCGAAGTCTCTGTCGGGTGTGAGTAAAATAATAATAACAGGGATCTGAAGGTGCTGTATGAATCAGACTTCAATACATAACCTTTAGGGCAAATGGCGTGTGATCATGTGATCTCTTGCACTCAAGAGCGTGTTTCCCTCATTAAAGCTCCATGAGGAGTATGAAACTAACAGTACCCACATAAAATCAAAGTCTGAATCGCAAAGTACTCATTTATAAATGAATAAGTATGATGCACAAACCACATGAATGTTCACAATGTTTAAAGACGTTGGGATTTTTTGTCATTATGCCATTTGTTAAATAAAAAAACAAACAAAAAATCATGATTACAAAATATTGACTGTTGATCTTGTTGAGTGAATTATCATCCAAAAAATGCCATGCGCTACAACCGTTGTTTAGCATAATATACTGGTATTACTATACTGAATGTACAAATAATTTGTGGTAAAACAAACAAAAAAAAGTGTACCTAAAGCTCTAGTTATCCTAAGAATCATACACACTGGCTGTTTCTCAAGTGTGCAAAGTTCAAACTTGCGTCCTTGCCAAGTTGAACAGATTTGGAAGAAAGAACTACAGAGGATGCGGGTCCACAAGTCGGGTACTTTTTCAAATGGAATGGCAGTGTCCATATAATGTCACTTACCTCACCATAGATTCATCAGTTTTAATGTACATTAACAATTAAATGATTTAATTATATAAAGCACAGCTTTATAATTAATATATTTATATTATAAATCTATATTTTTTATTTTAAAAATGTAAACATAAATCACTATAAATGTGAAGTAAAATGTATTAATAAGTGAAGTAAAATTCGTGTCTCTGATTATCAGGTTTTAGTAAACTATAATGGACATTATAGAAATATACAGTACGTAAACGTAAACAATAGGAAATAATGATAATGTTAGGCAATTTGGTACATTAAACAATGACAAACAACGTACAACATGGTAATTAAAGACAATTATAAAACGTAACAAAATAACACTGTCAAAATAATACACCTAAGGACAAATAATGGATTTCTAAGATCAAAAACTGTCCATTAGATATGCACAAGTTGTATTAAATATCATGTTTTAACTAAAATGGACAGATGCAATCCAGCGGTACATCCGTAATGGACTGGCTGATTAAAGCTGCTCTCGATGGAGGAGGTGATGATGAAGCTCCTGCTGACAAGCTGGAGGTCAGAGTGCGCATAAGCTGAGGCACATCGTCAAAGATCTTCATAAATAAACTGCCAATTCGAGTTTAAAACAACCACATTCTCACCTGAACAACTCTTAAAACTTTATTTTGTAACATAACAGAGGAGTATTTTTAAAACAGTGTAAATTATCTCCTCTGCCATTAGCTTTCGCTGGTAAGGTTGCAATGTATTCTGGGATACATGTGCTTCGCACAACTCACCTCTCGATGCATCCTTGGCAAAAGGGGTGGAGCAAGAACACATTCGGGATTTTTTTTCTGTACTTGGCAAGATGTGATTTTGGCAATATTGGAACAGTACTTCGGCGACGGTTGATGACGTTTCACGATGACACAAGAACGCAAGCACAGACAAGAACACATACTGAGAAACAGCCATTTATTTCTATTGATAATTTTTTTGATCTAAGGCCAATTAAAAAATTTGTTTGTGGTTTAATGACAATTAACCAACACTCTTAATACCTACTGGCAAATTTATTAGATATTCCTGGTAAATTGGTCTTCAAACCAAATATCTAATATATACCCTTAAATTGTATGGGTTCCGTTTATACTTGACCACAAATGCATCTCCTCCTAACTGATATGATTTCCACTTTTTAAATTTTGCGATATAAACAAATTTAATGTCAACTGAAGCATCAGATACAGATAAGAAACTTAAGCTATATATCTTGTTTGGCATAGGAATGAACTATATGTAGGATACACGGGACTTTGTACTTTGCTTGTCTTCCAAACATCATTACAAGTGTACAATGCACACTAAGTCAGTACCACAATGCACTTGCAACAGCAAATCTAAAACAGATGTTAAATAATACCCATACCCAACTGTGAGATTTTGTGTGAATTTCCGCTTCTCACAACAATATAACATCCACAGAGGTTTACGTTTCTAAATAAATACATTTTTAATAGTTAAATTAACATTTGTATACATAACACAACTTCAATTACTTTGTTACATTACTAATAGACAGCTCACTAAGTGCCACAGGATTTGACCAAGAAGTTTAAAATCCAATGTGTTTGAGAGATTTATCATATAGCAAAGCATAAACAAAAAGCATCCCTTCTGATGAGCTCAGTTTTTGAATGTACTCATTTTCATTCACTATTTTAGGTGGATTAATGTGGGAAAGAGAGAATGAGGGTACAGGGGCAACTTTCAAAAGCAAACCAAAATGATCTGTTAATCGAATCAAACATCAGAATGGAGAGGAATAAGAATACAAGTGAGTTTCAAGCATGGCATTGGTTCATAGCGCCAGACGGGCAGCTCTGAGTATTTCGGAAGCTGCTTATGATCTGCTGGGATTTTCAAGTACGTGTTTCTCTAGGGTTTAAATAGGATTCAAAAGATAGAAAATATCTAGTTCTGTGGGCAAAAATACCTTGTTGGTGCCAGGGGTCAGATTGAAATGGCAAGACTGGTTGAGCTGATAGAAGTCAAGTCAAATAACAACTGATTAAAATGAAATGTGCAGAGGAGCATCTCTCAATGCACAACATGTCTGCAGTTAAGAAGGTCTGTTATTAAAGTGGACCTATTATGCAAAAATCACTTGTATAAGGGGTTTAAACACAGTCTGACATGCAGGCATTTGTAGCCCCGACCTCTTTTGAAAAATAGCACAATCTCCTTTGAATTTAAAGTCACCAAAATGGCACAATTAGGATGAAAGCCTTACGGGGCTTGTTTCAAAGAGTTATAAAACATTATTTATTTGGTATTTTGAGCTGTAACTTTACATACACACTCTGGAGACATAAGACACCCTTTTTAACATCTTGTAAAAAGGGGCATAATAGGTCCCTTTAATATTTGTATTTAATCAGTTTAACACAGGACTGTCAATTCTCAGTCCTGGAGGGCAACTGTCCTGGCTCAGTAGGTTGTGCACACAAATTTGGCCATTGGTAAGGCCAGTGATGGGCTTGGTTCACTACACAATGGGACACTTAACGTGACATGAGAATGTCCTGGTTGTACAACATCAAGAATGGAATTTATAAATTTATCTACATAACTGAAATTTTTAATATTCATTTTATAAAGTGCTAAAAGAACAGAATTAAATTATGTATGCATGCATGTATTGATGGTTTCATATACCAACAACATTTCAACCATTAATCAATCATTTACAAATGTTTGCTAGATTGTTCTGTCTGGTCTATGATCATTTAAATATAAATACATGTATAAATACATATTTTAAATATGAAAAATCTAAATGTTTTTTTTCCCCAAAATATGTTTTGTTTGTTGTTACCTTTAGAGATTTTTGTGAATTCATAATTCACGCTTTAGAGTTCCATTAAAGGTGCTGTATGTAAATGTTTGAGTCTTCTAAAGCATAAAAATGCAAAGGAACATGCTAAGTGAACATTCTTGTTTATCTGAAAAACAATGCTAAAGTCAGTTATTCTGCGTAAAAAGGTGTGTTATGTGCGGCTGTCTTTGTTTTGGTTCTCTTAACCCGCCCATCTTCACGTTAGCCAATTATATTTCAGAACCCCGGGTTGCCTTGGCCCAGGTTGGAAAACCATGTATTTAATTAATTTAGTCAGAAAGGCTCTCAAAGCATGCGTCCATGACCAAAATGCAACCTCCGGTGGACCATAACGGCCTCTAAAATGAGATGCAGATTCAGAGTTCCACATAAGGAGGTATTTAATAAGCAAATAATATAAATATTATGAATGTAAACATTAGGTAAGCAGGTTACATGGAAACCCGTGTCCTTACTTCACGCTGCAGTACATGATGAGATTTGCAGTGATAAGCAATTTGTCTGTTTGCACAACAAAAAATTAAATACAGCCATTCAGAAGCACAGAATATTGCACTCACTGATGAAATGGATAGGTTTAAAATCTAATTAATACAAATTAAACCTCTTTAACATTATTAAATGTGCATGCTGAATCATTGATATGTGTTTGCTTGCACTGAGTCACAGTTCTAAAGTTCCGTTTCAAACTGTTTATGTTATTTTCAAGATCTGAGGTGAACTGCTGCTGCTGCTTTCAGTAGCATGGCAATTAATGTCTGGTAAAATGGCATTCAAACTCGCATTATTAGCATTTATCACTGAATAAAGCACATGAGGTGTACCTGATCACTGTCAAAGTTTTTTTTTTTGTTGTTGTTGTTCTGCTTAAAGAATTTGAAGCCATTTTTAAAATATAAATTTCAGATGTTGGTTAGATCAAAAACTCCATTAAAATGGAAAATATTCCTTCTATTGCTCTATCATTATTGCTTTTATTTAGAACACAGTTTAAATCAGCCTTTAGGCTCGATAGTCAGACACACTCCTGTTGGTCATCAATCTGGCAACCTGCGCCTGCATACGTATGTTTTGAACCAGGCAAGCAATACCTATATACCAATTCCGGTGCATCCCAAATTGCATTCTCATGCACTATTCTACGCCATTTTGTAGTATAAGTGTAAGTAGTGCGTTCACACTGAAAACTCTACAAATTTAATTTAAACACTTTAATTACCTGGATGATGCACTCATTTAGTTGGTAAAATGAAGTGTTTGGAATGATGGACACTTCACGGAATCAAAGACCGCAGGTTTGCTCACGTAGCGGAAAGGGCAGAGCTATCAGGCGCACATATTGGATAACTTTATTTATTTGGGATGGTGAAACTCCAATTAGAGTGATTATAGCACTCCCGAGTGCATCATACTTATGGCAGGTAATATTTGATATTTGGTCTTTCATTTCACTGATTTGGCAACCATCGAACGTCTCCAGTGAAACGGTTTGAATTTCCGATTAGTAAAAAAAAACTGTAGTGCTCCATTTGGGACAACACTACATACATGAACTATAATGTTGAGTAAGTGAATAAATACATAGTGCATGAGTACATAGTGTGTAGTGTGCCATTTGGGAGCAGCTATTTTCTATGTCTTTCTTCCTTAACACACCTAACTCAGATCATCAACTCGTTTCCAGAGAGATCCATGAACTGATCTTTGTTAAATAAGAGAGACATAAGAGAGACAGGGCAGGGGATCCCGCAAACTGGAATTGGGAACCACCTCATTAAGAAAACATAGCAAGCATTGATGCTCCCTGATTTTCACAGTGCACTGTGGGACATTTTAAGCAGTGATAGTTTCAGTGGACTAAAATAATTTTGCAATTGAGCCAGCCCTTAAAAAAGGTTGACTCCCTGATCAGTGCCTTTACTACTGAATGAAGAATCTAATGGAGACATACCACTGGAGTTTAACTGCAATTTGCCTCAATACACCTGTCAGTAAATTTCTGCTGTCTTGACTGGTTAATTAAGGTGTGTTTAATTAGAGTAGGAACTAGAACTTGCAAGACAGCAGTAGGTTTGGACACCTCTGGTTTAGCAGACATTTATTTATTTTCCCTCAGCTTAGTCCTTTTATTCATTAGGGGTCGCCACAGCGAAATAACCCACTAACTGATCCAGCATATGTTTTACACAGTAGATACCCTTCCAGCTGCAACCCAGTACTGGGAAATATCCATACACACTCACACATTCATATAATACAGCCAATTTAGTTTATTCAATTGACCTACACCGCATGTCTTTGGACTGTGAGGGAAACCAGAGCACCTAGAAGAAACTTACGCGAACACGAGGAGAACATGCAGAAACTCCTCACAGAAACGCAACTGACCCAGCTGGGACTCAAACCAGCGACCTTCTTGCAGTGAGGCGACAGTGTTAACCATCAGTGCTTAACCATGGGTTAAGCAGACATTTAGCAGATTATTCAGACAACATTCACTGTACCTCAAGCCACCAATGTATTTCTGCTTCTCGAAGATGGTGATGTTGTCATATCCTAGCCGGGCCAGGAAGGAGGCGCAGCTGATGCTGGCAGGGCCGCAGCCAATGAGAGCGATCCTTGTGTGGAAACTCTTCGGCATGTTGTCCGCCGTGGGAAGCTCTGGATTCCTGATCTGAGGGATGCCCATCTTACTGAACACCTGAGGACAGTAAACAAACCTCAGCTTCATTTCAACCCTCTAAATACACAGAAATCCTATTTCTCCAGCACAGCAAGCTCAGGAATATTTATACGGAATCAGCAGACAAATTACAGTTCAAAGTTGATCCCCCTTGAGCTTTTTAATAGTAAAAGCATGGATCCGCTGTGGACAAATGTAACAACATTACGCCGTGATTCTCCTTCCTCTCTTATTTAGCTCCAGAAAGTCTTTCAGGCCCAGTTTGCATCATCTCATCTCAACCGGCTGTTTACCAGAAGCTGCCCTGGGCATATAATGCGATTTACTGTATGTGATGTACTGTACAGTTCCTGCTTTACAGTAATGCAGGCGCTGGTCTGTGTGAGGAGAGAAGAGAAGGTAAACGAGTGCTGATGGCTCTGTCTCGGGCTTATCTAATCAACAGGCTGATAAACAACCCTGGCCTTTCACATTTGAGAAGAGAGAAGCTGTCATCTCGGCGGTAAGAGGTGATGGGACAGTTCGGTCAGCCTTCTCTTGCAGGACTCTGGATGTTTTTTTTTTTTGTTTTTTTTTAAGAATGGGGGTGGGGGGGGGGGGGGTGAGAATGGAGAGATTCACTGAGGTCAGGTGAAGAGTAGATAAGACAGGGTGAAGATGGGACAGCTAGACAATTGACAGATGGACACTTGAGTTTCAGAAATAAAGGAGGGCAGGGGATTGTACAGCTGGGTCATTTCTACAGAAAGCCTGTCATACAGTATGTGGACATAACTTGAGGGAAAAAAAATGCCTTTGTTGTAGGGTATTGAAGACATTTTTTAAGATACAATAGAAAAAAAGGGTGGAATGAAGGGTGGAGCCTTCAACTGCAGCTTGTGCTATATTGAACAGACGCACTTCACTTCAAAACTATAGCGGCCGTTTTCCGACTAAACTAAATTTATTTTTGACGTCTTGGTCACACTGTTTGGAGGGCCGGAACAAACTGCCTCGGGGGTCAGGTTTGGTCTGCAGGCCGCAAATTGAATAGCCCTGCTGTAGACTATCAAAAATATATAGCTTAAAGGGGCTAATAATTTTGACCATAAAATGTTTTTTTTTTTTTTTTTTTTTTTAACTAAAACTTAATTAAATTAATTATTCTAGCCGAAATAAAACAAATGCGACTTTCTTAAGACGAAAAAATATTATCAGACATACTGTGGAAATTTCCTTGCTCTGATTAACATCATTTGGGAAATATTTTAAAAATAAAACAAAATCAGAGGGGGGCTAATAATTCTGACTTTAACTGTACATATACATACATGACTTTTTATACTATATGTTAAATTCTTTATCCACAAAAAAAAAACTTAAATCCTCTCCCTCATTTGCCTATTTCTTAATTGAAAATAAATTCCTGAAAAATTCTGCAAGTTGATAGAAAATTTATAAAGATAATATTAAATTAATCTTTGATGTTTTCTGTGTTTTTTTATTTAATTTTGTACTTCCCCTTAATTTTTTTTGCTTTTTCCTTTTTATTTCTCATGTGTTATTGTTCTTATTCCCTTGTAATTGTATGTACTTGTATTTCAGTCTCTTACAGATTACTTCCTAATTTATATTGTACATTTCTTCTTTTCTAAATAAAAGTTCACATCAAAAAAATTAAATAAAAAAATAATATTAATAAAAAAAAAGTAGTCTATTAGCAACGGGATCTTTGTTGTCGTTGATATTTTTTTGTTATTCTACTGTATATTGTGCAACTGCAGAAGAGTCAAGCTTTCAATAAGACAATTATTAAAACTCTTTTTAATTTTTAAATTGAGATGCTAATAGTTTAATTCGATGCTAAGCTAAGCTAAAAAAATCCTATAACACTGCAAACTCAAGTAGTGGCTGCTAACATAATGAAAGTGCATATATTAAAGTATATTTTTAAATGAAAATGTGGTGAATAAATTATTTCAGTCCTAATCTAATTACAAATGTTTTTATTTATTTTTTTAACTGACAGCCTTATGACAATGAACAATAAAACCAACAATAAACCTTTTACCAACAATAAAACCATACAAACTAAATAAAAAGGACAGCTCAGTCACTAGACAGTGTTTCTAACTCATTCATTTCTAAAGTCTTTGTTTTCTACTTTTCCACTTTAAGCTTAACAACTAAAGACAAAGCAAGAGAGCAAAGGCTAACAATCTCTCCCTCTCTTTCTCCCTCAGCCTGTTTTTGATTTACACTTTTGAAAAAGAAAAGTCAATTCTATCGGACAAAAAGAAAAAAAAGACTTTCCCACTTCTCAGAAGAACTAAAAAGACCCTGGTGATTGTTCTAGGGATGTGATGTGAGGAACTGAAAGTACAAGGCAGCAGAAAGAACAGTTTGAATCATGACATTAAAATCGCCATTCAACTCTAAAAATATGATCTGGACTTAAAGCAGACAATAAATTTTTCACATTACTTTTCAGCTTGAACGATTATCTATAGACTACAGTCTGACAGCACTTAGTTGCAACAGACCTTTGACTTCGGGCTGCAAAAAAATCTGGACCACGCAGCAAATATCTCTGCCTTACCTCAGTAGCGAACTGCTGAAGCCCACCAATATTGATAGGCCCTTCCTCAGAGGCGTAGAGGTTACAGCCCCCAACGCACAGATCAGAGGTGGGACACACCATGCCACAGGTCAGACCCAGTGGGTTATCGGACAGGATTGCTTTAGCAGCACCGTAGTAGTTCTGGAAGACACACAAAAGAGTCGGCGATCAACACAAACTCGTGCTGCGCTTACCTGGCCAAATAAAGCCATGTATAAGTGCCTGTGCTTAACTAACTGAGAAATATAATACACAAAGGATTATGAGATTATCACTTAAGCCAACATCAATAAAGTCTGTTCAGCGTAGCTGCTGAGCGAGCAAGTTCAAGCGTTGTAATACTGTAGGCGATACCTTGTTGGAAATGCTGGTGATGAAAGATTTGATATCCAAATTGGTGGGGCAGCTTTTCTGGCATGGAGCGTCTGCGCATTTCAGGCATCTGTCAAAAAAAGCAATGAATTTGTGTTGACTTCAGTTGCACATTTATACAGACAATCAGCCCAAAATCTTTAATCAGTCTAATAATGATTTCACAATTTGTTAAATTCCTAGACTTTAAAAAAAAAATTAACAAAAAAAGTTTTAAATAACTGATAAAGAATTATCTGATTTTATGAAATGACTTATGAAGCTGTTTTGTGGGTATATTTGGGTCAGATAATAATGAATAAAACACTTGCGCCCAATCCCAATTAAGAGGACCTTACTATTAAGCCTCCTTTTCACTGCACATAAAAAACGACAAGCGACAGACCAGAAGTCATTCATTTCCAATGGAGAGTCCGAATTGAGCTGTGGATATATTGAAATATTTGAACTTCTGCGACTAGACCGTAAGCAACCGGCCAACCGGATGTGATGTATTTCAGTGTTGTTCAAGCAGGTCCATGCGCACGAGAGGAGATCAAGTTTCTTCGTAATTTTTTTTAAATCAGAAAAAAGTCTATTAAAAAAAATTCTATTTATAAATGAGTAATAAAAAATATGTTAATGTTTTTCCACATTCCCTCCTAAATTTTTAGCGATCTATGAGTTTCTAGTATTCATTCATTCGTTCAACCACAGAAAATAAAAGGCTCTTGCTTTTGAACTCCTTTATTTCGAACACTGCGAGTACAGCTTCTCTCCCATAGAGCGCGACAAAACTGAAAAGTCTGTGCAACTGCCAAAAGGGAGCGTAATCCGACAGTCGTGTCTAAATGTCATGTGCAACGGAAAGGCGGCTTTATGCCCGATTCACATGGGGCTTCAGCGTCAATGCTTGACAGAGCGTGTGTCTGAAGCTGAGGCTGACGCGATCATCAGCTTCAGCCAATCAAATTAGTTAGCAATCGGCTACTGATAGCTGGTGTATTTGCATACGGCGATCTGATTGGCTGACGCTTCTGTTAGCGCTTGAAAAGCTGAGAAAGTATATTTACTTCAAGAAATTATTTTAAAATGATCATTTTGTGTCCAATATTATGTCAGAAGAGAAAAATGTCATGTTAAACTGTTTTGACAGATTTTTTAAGAACTTTGTTAAAGAATGTTTTTTTAAAGAAATATCATACCTTCCGTTATTCATTCATTTATTTTCTTGTCGGCTTAGTCCGTTTATTAATCTAGGGTCGCCACAGCGGAATAAACCGCCAACTTATCCAGCAAATTTTTACGCAGCGGATGCCCTTCCTGCCGCAACCCATCTCTGGGAAACATCCACACACACACATTCACACACACACTACGGGAAATTTAGACTACCCAATTCACCTGTACCGCATGACTTTGGACAGTGGGGGAAACCGGAGCACCCGGAGGATACCCACGCGAACGCAGGGAGAACATGCAAACTCCACACAGAAACACCAACTGAGCCGAGGCTCGAACCAGTGACCTTTTTGCTGTGAAGCTTCCCCCACCTTCCGTTATCATCTTTTTAAAGAATGCCATATGTAGTGATTGAACATGGCCATTTTGAACAGTGCAAAATGATTTAACAATCTGTGTGAGCTTGTGAAGAACTCTTTCCAATATGAAGTTCTAATCGTCCAGTCAGTATCAATTGGCTTAAACAATTGTGTTTTTAATTGTGTGTTAAATTTTACATTACGCACAACATTACTTATAAAGAGGGCTGTAAGCGTAAAATAAGCACAGGATACACTAAAGGTAAAGCATACAAAATCTTGAATCAAATACACTACTGGCTCTGCTGATGGTGTGCAGCAAGAGATAATGGCTGGCTCTTTGTTTGGTTCGAAAAAAGGCGAGCTGAGAACAAATGGCTGAGCGATGCTTGTTTTATCCCAGACATGTCTCTGCACTGACTGTGAAGACTGATACCTCTGACAAATACTGCTGACTTCATAATGACCAGGGAACTCCATATTGGTAGACAACAACATGCCTGCTTTAAATTATACATGAGATAATTTGGCTCCAACCAATTAAATATTCATGGAGGAACAAAATGCACATTCCATCGAAGAGAACGAGTGGAATGGGTCTGGATATACTGTAGGTATGGCTCGGTTTGGTCCCTGGGACTGTGAAATCCATTTGAAACCCAAGGCTAAAACATCATGTGTATAACACTAATTAAGCAAATCAAATGTTTGGTTTTACATATGTCTTTAAAAATAGTTTGCCTCATAATATCCTACCACTGAGTCAGCTGGACTGACCAGAAAAAAAGCTCACCAGAGCAAATGACTGCATTTGTTTGTGAGTTTTAAAAGGCATTAAAGCTTCATACGCTCACAATAATTGCCGCACAACATTATTTTGGTTTGGAGCCAATCAAACTGACTTACAAGTAGGGATGGGAATCATTAAGAATTCTTGACAGGTTCTGGTTGACTGCACTGCCTGTGCTATGCTTTTTGATTTATTATATAAACTGGTTCATAAGAATCTTATGTTCAGGAATCAGACTACACTGTCTGCACTGTGTATTTCTGATTCATCGAACTGGTTCATAAATGTTTTTGGTGCAGGAATTGGATAAGACAATGTGCCCTGTTGTAGTGTTTTTCCCTTCTCTCTATTCATTATTTAGTATCAGTTCATAAGAGACATTTGTTCTGATATCAAACAGCACCGTTTGTATAATTTTGATTCATTATTATGAACTTATTCATAAAAGAATTAGTTTGGGAATCAGACTCCAGTGATATGTTTTTGAATCATTAAATGAATAGTTTATCCAAAGATGAAAATTCTGTCATCATTTTCCAACCCAGGCTCATTGGAGATGCGTGCCCAGGACTACATTTTTGGGAATCACAAAATATGTGCCTGGGGCTACGTCTGCTTGTAGTTTTTGTTTTCACAAATCCATTAGAGGCCGCCGTGTACATATTTGACAATCTCAAATATGTTTACCTGGTTTCCAGTACTGTCCTTCATTACACTGTAAAGAAATGCTGGGTTCTACAAAATTCCTTCATATTGTCCCAACACAAATCAGTAACATATACTCAGGAGATTTAGTGTGGTGCATTTTTTTACAACACTTAAGCATCTATAACTTAACTATAATTTTGATCATTATGAACTCTAGCACAAATTGTCTTCTTTAAAAGATGCATGAACTGTAAATGTAGAGCAAATTATTCAGCAACTGTTACTGTTTTAGTTTGGAAGGACTTTTTTTTTTAAAGGTGAAAGGCCTCTGAAGGTGAGAGAGAGAAATCTCATTTTGTATGCTTTCATGATCAAATTTGAAATATAAACTCATGAAACACTTGGCTTTTAAGGCATGTTTTTTCTAGGTTCTTACATTAATGTTTTCCTGTGTTTGTATAAACAAATAACGAACACAATACATTATTTTTACTCATTACTTCATAATGTATAGCTTTTTTGTATTTTTGAGCATGAAACTTTCCAGATGGACCATTGTACTGTAAAGCTCAAAGTAAAGCTGTCTTCTTTCCAATGGTACCTAATTTTAGTTGTAGCTCCCTGGGGTCAAGAACTGTTACTATTTGAAGTTAGGTAGGTGTGAATCCCTAAAAGTGAGTGCTGGACAAAAAATTTTAAGCTAACTTGGATTGAACATAAAACAATTAAGTTGTAAAAAAAATAAATAATAATAATAATAAAGTGTGCTGGTTCAACTTATTTTAAATAAGTAGTTTGAATAAATAGCTAAATTATTTTTTTAAGTGTAGACTCTAACCCTGGTTCACTTCATGTCCCGAGTCTGACTCCTAAAAAGATGAGCTACAAAGCAAACTGAACATGCTGGAAAAAGCTTCATACAGAGGCAAGCGATCATCGATAGCAAGTTTTTAGTGGTGTCATACCATACTGCAATGATTGTTTTAAACATAAATTGTAGCGAGACGTATGCCAGGGCATGTATTTCATTGTCATTTACTGTCATACACTCACCCTTCACTTGATCAAAACCTACTGTATAGAGATTTTCTTCTGTTGAAAACAAATGAAGATGTTGAGAATACTGGAAGCTGGCACCCATTGACTTCCATATTCATTTTAGTAATAAACTCATAAAGGATCAAAACCACGAGAAAGAGTAAGAATGCTTCTCACAGGTTTGAAATATACTTGTGATGGCAGCCGGTTTGAAACGCACCTTTTATCCACAGCATATGCGTTTACTACATGCGAAATAATAATAATAATGTGATTTTAACTATATTTTTATTTATCATGACATTGATATACAACGTTTCTTTTCAATGGGTTAAAGTTATTAAAAAAGGTTGTTGAGATAAAAGAAATCCACTATTTATCTAACTTTTTTGCTATTTAGGAGCCATGTGTACTCACTGATAGATAAAGGCTGCTCTTTCTCTCTCTCGCTCAATTCAATTCAATTCAATAATTGCTTTATTGGCATGACAAATGTTACAAATGTATTGCCAAAGCAGTTATAAAGTATCTCTCTCTAAAGTTCCTTTATTGGCATGAAATTTAGTACAGTATTGCCAAAGCATTTTAGATATAAATAAATGTCAATGTGAGTCGTGCATCAATAAAAACCATAGTGAATGATGTTAACTCTGACGTTTTAATTTCAGAACAGACTTCAGCTCACCCCCAAACAGTAGCGGCGCAAGCTTAACTGGCGCTCTAGGCAAATGACGGTCGTGCCGCCCACACGGTGTTCATGCTGCCCTTTATCAGACGAAAGTAAAGAGTGGGGGGTGGAGGTGTCACTCCTTGCAAGATACCGCCCAGGGAGATCGTCCACATTGCCCATGCCTAAATCCGCCACTAGTCCCAAACCTTAAATCTCATACACAAGGACTAAAAAAACGTTTATATTGCCATGTAGCACAAGTATTTAGGCACGTTAAGAGAGAAAGAGAGAGAAAGAGAGAGAGAGAGAGAGAGAGATATCCGCCGCATAACCAATATAAATTAATATTAAACTCAGTTGTGTAAAGTAACTAATTACAAATACTCAAATTACTGTAATTAAGT